GAAGTATTTTCAAAATTGACAAGAAGACCAGGATAGCAGAGGAAAGGGCAGTCGAGGTGAGCCATATTGGATTGAATCTTATAGGGCATCCCAAAGACACTGTCTTTCTCTTAGTCCTGTGGAGCTTCGCTTGTGTCCTGAGTGTCATGATGTGTCTGACCCTTCCCTACGGTTGCTGAGATGAAACCACCCTTTGGGCTGGTTGTTGGCTAATGACATTTCGTGAAGTAAAGGTGAAAGGCAGAGATTAGCTAAGATTAGACCAGAAAAGTTGCTGGCAGGAGAAGAGAAGATAAAGGAAAATTGTTGTGAGATTCTGGAATATTTTGCAAGTTTTAGCACCATATTTGCTGATGTATAGCAGGAGAGGGTGAGAGAGAAAGACAAACCCAGGATGGGAAGTAACTTATTGCCATTCGGTTTCATTGCCTGCCTTCTCAGAGTGACAAAGCACGGCCCATCTGCCTACTTTGATGTATGTTTCCAGGAACAGAGGAAAGGAATAAACAGGAGGAAAGTTTCAGGCTCACCTGCAAGTCATACATTTGAAAGACAGGGACAAGGAAAGGCAGAACTGAAAATAGATTCAAAGCACTATTTTCAAGTTTTCCCTTCTATTTAATGTTTTGTTTTCTTCTCCCAGACCAAGGTCTGTTCACTGAAATGTACGTAGCCGCACCCTCCACGTCCATCTTTCTCTTTTGTCCTGTCTCTTCTGTGTTGCTGATGTTGAGAATGTTCTGTGGCAGCCAGAGTCAGAAACTAATCTGCTCACCAGCCCAGAGGATTCCTGTGTAATGCTGCCTGAGACAGGCTTGCTGGGGAAGACGGGAAGGAGGTTCCAGTGGGTTGTTTTAATTAAAGTGTAGTAGACCAGAAGCAAAGTTTCATTTCCAGGGAAAGAAAAACTCCTCCAAAGGTGCTGTTGAGACTTCTGCTCTTCAGAGCCGGGGCAAGGACTTTGATCCTGGTTGTTTTGTCAGAATCTGTTCTGATCACATTCAACCCTGTGTGCTTTGATGGTTTCCTTCCACACTTCCCTACCACCCCCTCAGCACACAGGCCTTTGAGGACACTCAGCTGGTATTCTCTTGCAAATTTCAGAGCAAGGAAAGCTAGATTAAAATTGAGCACTAGGTTTTGACGTAGGTGCCTCACGATTTGAACAGAATTTGCTATTTCTGAGATTTCAAGTATACAAATATCTGTTGCAGTATAAAAATACAACACTTGAAGTGTTCGCACCACAACATGGTATACTTTTTAAGGCTGCTTTAAAAAATGTTTTTTCGAAAATTACCCCTTTGCTCACCTTGAAAAATACTCCAAATATCTTGGTTCTTTATTTTCCTGGCACAAATCTATAGTTGTTCTTTACATCTGCCCTCCTGAGTCAACCTCTAAGTGAGAGAAGCTGTGACTAAAATAGTTTAGAGGAGGGATCCCCTTTAATTCCAAGGTCGCCACCCCTGAGGAATCTCAATACCAGTCTTGTTTTGAATATCAGTCTTCTTATTGGCAATAACTTCTAGAGAAAATGCCCTGCCCTTCAGTTGCATGACATAAACATCCCTTTCTATTTAGTACTTCCGGATCATGTGCTATATACCATAGTCCATCTCAGGACCTGTGTATTAACCCACTGAGCCTACCAACAATCATGTCTGTTTTCTTCTTATCCTCATTTTAAAATTCTGAGCCTGAGATGCAGAGCAGTTAAGCCTCTAATACATCAAGGATTCTTTTGAGCCCCAACCCTAAAATCCATGGTGCAGCCCCAGTAGTTCTTCAACAGTCCTCACAGATGATGGGAGAAACTGGTTGTTATCTTTCCATTCTAAGATGTAAAAGTAGGTGAAGAAATTAGTTCTGCAGTCAGCCTCTGCACCTTCATCTCCTTTCCTGTTGGGTTAAATAAACAAATAAGAAAACAGGTCAGACTAATCCTCACTTCCCAATAGCCTGGAAAAGCTGTTGCAGTATGGGAAGATGGTAACACAACATCTAGATGATTGTTTACCAGCCTGTGAAAATGTTTGGGAATCTTTAAAACCTCGATTATAGAATCACTTCCTACCCTGATCTCCAGAACTTCTTTTGAGAATTTGGGAAAACAAACCCACAGCTGACAGTGGTCAACACTTTCCTGGGAGAGGGAATGTTGGTATCTTCATACTCATGTTTTCCTTTTATGCTTATTTCTCTCTGTTGTATCTCTAAGGTCTGAAAAGATCCCGTAACTACAAACAGTATATGATCAGTTGATTTTAATAAAATGTTTTTATGAATTATTTCAATGATTTATGACCTCAGGCCAGCTCTGGAATTGGGGCATTTCAGTCTTATTGATGTAAATAAATAAATGTAAATTGATGCCGTCTTGCTTAATTATTATTATATATTGAGTTTAAGATAGTAATAACTGCTTATATTTATTTCACAGAGCTGAAAGTTGTTCTAAGTTCAAAGACTGAACCCTAAAACCACAGAAAGGTTTTAATAGAGAAGCATCATCTTCACAAACTTGTAGAACCCCCTTTTCCCTTTCCTGGACCTTTCAGCATATGGTTTGAAATTTCTTGGAGTTATCTTCTATAAGAAGTACTTTTTTTTTGAGTCTACAGGGTACTGAAACTATTCTTTATCACGTATCTATCTAGTCCCCAAATAAGACTAGATCAGGAGTCAGGAAACGGTCATGTGTCCATATGCCCAGGCAACCTTCCGGAAATCCCAGTACTCCTTCCTCTGTCTTTCTTCTAGTCCTCTTTCTCCTTTTTACTTCTCTTTCTTGTGAACTTTTACCTCCAACTTCTTGTAGTCCCCATCTCTCTTTCTTTTTCTTATCCTTTCCAGAATTTCCCTTGGAGATTGAATAGAAACAACTTCAAGGCACCTTCCAGCGTAGTGAACCTTCAACATCTCTCAAGTGTGGACATGATGTCCATCACCTCGTCCTTCTTTCCAGTTCTTGATGACACCCAGCCAAGGGTTGACCTACTTTCTTCCTTGTAACTTGTCCCTTCCTTCTCCCTTTGACAGTGTGGAGCACAAGTGTTTTCCAAAATGGAGTTTTCTAATGGAAGGCAATGGTATTAACCTCAAATGCAATTAAGGGGTACTTTCTTTTTGTTTATTTAAGAAGGTAGAATCCCAGAGGACTATTGAGTGATAAATATATATACACAGATATAATATATATACATATATATATATATATATATATATAGTCTCTGAAAAGGGTTCAGTAAACCAAGTTTAGAAACCTATAGCTTAAGGAACATGTATCCTAGGGGCCAGCTAGGATTGTAACACAGTAACAAAATCTAGGTTTATGATTAATGGAGCTTGCTAGAAGAAAGGACTATTCTATGTCACTTCTACCACTGGATCATATGCTTCCACTCTTATTTATAGCTTCTGTCACTCCCAAGATGTCCTACAAGTCACCAATATGACTTGTACCCATGAGGAGAGACAAGGGAGTAGATTCCAGCCTGCCATAATCTATTTTAGAAGGAGAAACCCTCCAAGATAAATATCTGAGGGGTTGGCTGGGTTCAGTTTGGTTTTTAATCTAGCTGGAGAAATTGGATGTGATTTCCTGTTAACAACATTGCTAAAGAGCCCAGTCAATGGCTAATTCCCAATGGGACAATGATATTTTGAGGAACTCATAATGTCTAATGCTAGATCATCGTCAGTCAGCTTAAAATGAAGCTTCTTTGTATCTTGAATGTCCCCTGTACAGAGAACAGGTGGGAAGTGGGAATAAAGAATTAAAGAAAAAAGATTGCACTGTTTCACTAACCACCACTCTTTTGCATGTTTCTTTTCTGTGCTTGTTGCATGCATTTATCCACTAATTATGTTGATCAAGGGGGAAACAAAACACATTATAAATCTGCTTATAATAATTACTTTGGAATCGTATTTTTTTCCAGCACCTTTCCCTAAGAGTCTCATCACTGACAGGCATTACTTGTTGTGCTTTAATTGATCACTCTTCGTCCTAAATCCCCAAATGTAATCAATTGCCTCCTTAATGCTTTAATTGCAGTTGACTTGACTAATTTGGAAAGTGGGGAGGCATGGTCTGACTCTTCAAAACTGTGGTGTTAATTGATGAAAATACATTAATTTGAAAATACATGAATTTGAAAATCAACAGAGTCAAGTCAAAAAAGCCCTGGGCTTGGTGCCCGAGCAATAATGCAGCAGGTAGGGCATTTGCCTTGCATGTGGCCTACCCAGATTCAATCCCCAACATCCTATATGGTACCCTGAGTACTACCATGAGTGATTCCTGAGTGTGGAACCAGGAATAATCCCTGAGCATTGCTGGGTGTGACACAAAGCCAAAAAAAAAAAGAAGAAGAAGAAGAAGAAGAAGAAGCCCTGAGCTTCACTTTGCATTGTTAATTGCCAATTGCCAAACCTGAGATGAGCACTTTCTGTTAGTTTTGGGGCGATATTTAACAAGGCTCAGGGGTCATTCCTGGCTCTGCACAAAAGAATTACTTCAGGCCTGCTCAGGGGACCAGATAGTATGCCAGATCTATCCTGGGTTGGGCTTGTGCAAGACAAGCACCCTACCCATTGTGCCATCTCTCTGGCCCCTGGGCATTTATGTAATCCCGAGGAAAGACTGTGCTGCTGGAGCAGATCTGTGTTGGGTGTCAAATAGGTGGAACTTTACTGATTGTTTCAGCCTTCTAAAATTTGTAAGCTACTGGGCGGGAGGGAAGAGATTCAAAACAGACTTTTCATCTGTGATCCAGCAGTGTGAGATCTGCAAATAAGAATTGGACCAAAGATTCCAAGAAGGTAAGAAAGTTCCCTCCATGCAGGGCCTGGGCATTGGGTCACTGGAAAGAAATAATCAATACTACTGTGCAGCAGAACCAAGGAAGCCCTGTGCCAACTCTGCCAGTGCTTCACATTTTCTTCGAACCTTCCTCCTCATCCTGTTTCCTTCCCACCGCTTTCTCTTACTTCAGGGAGGTTCAGAGAAAAGGCTTCCATTCTGCACAAGATTGCCAAGAAGAAATGCCAGGTGGACGAGAACGAGATGCAGAATGGGGCTGCCAATCACGTGGGTGAGTGCAGGGTGCTTTCCTACTTGTGCCTGTGCTGTAGGGCAGGAGGGGAACAGAGGCAGGATCCCATGGGACCCTGACTCAGTATGCACACAGATCCCTGGGGCCTAGCCTCAGTGTCGTGAAGAGTCTCACCTTCCCCTGGTGAGTAGAGCATGAAAGGATAGATGTAATAAGTCACCTACCCAAAAACTGCCCCAAGAAGGATGAACTGTTCCTATGAGATACAATTAGTAAATAACATTGTAAGATAAATATTTGTCAAATCAGTTAAATAAAAATAGCATCTACCCAGGCATCTCCACAAAAGAGTAGAAAATTACTTCATTATCTAAAGAGGACACACAGACACACAGACACAGACACACATAGACACAGACATACAAAAACATACACACACACACACAACCTTACCTGTCATTTGATATCTTACAGAGATAAGAGGAATAAAAGGATAAGAGGGGCACTGGAACACCACCTTTGAAATCCTTGCCTTGTAGCCAATTTGATTCTTATAACATTTGCATGCCACATACTTAATTATTAACTGTTTCACTTTCCACTCCCACACTGAGTTGCAGGTCCCTTTGAGAGCATACTAGCAGTCAGCAATCCTAGCCTGGTCCTCTCAGATTCACTCCTTTTGAGCTCCTGTGTGACCAGATCGTAATATTTTGGGGTTTTATTTTAACTTAGAACATGGTGTTCTTCCTTTCCTGTCTGTAACTGTAATATAGCTAATTCTAAATTCAAGCTAAATTTAACCTAATCTGGATCTATGCTAGAAAGGAAGCTTTTGCCCAAGGAAATAAAATTAACTGCTGACAAAATTCAACAGTGTTGCACTCAAAATATGTGACACTTCTTAGAAGAGTTTCTGCCTCTCCTGTTACCCCTGACTTCTAGCTCCAGGGAAGTGTTTGGCCAAGAAACAGTCAAGACTGTATTGAGTGTGAAAAAGAAATACGAGTTGGAAAATAGCTAAAGTGTTCATAATAGTTACTTCATAGAGTTAGGATTATGAATTACATTTTTTCTCTACCTCTGTGAATTTGAACAAACTATTAAGAAAAGCTCATGTCTATGGCGCAGTGATTCAATTTTCAAAAGTTGAAAAAAGAAAAGAAATGAAAAGCTCATGTTGCCATTGTATTATTAAAAATGCAAAGCCATCAGGGAGATGGCTCAGAAGACTAGAGCGCATGCTTTGCATGCAGAAACCCCAAGTTAAACCTCCAGCACTTCATGGTCTCCACGCTCCACCAGGTGTTTCCCAAAACATATTTTTCATGCAAATCTCGGCCTGAGAGATAGGTCAATGGGTTGGGTGCATGCTTTGCTTATAGGAGGCCCAGTTTGATTCCTGACACCAAACAGGCACTCGAACAGTACCAAAAGCAATTCCTCCAACCTCTATCACAGAGCCAGGAGTAGCCCCTTACCATTTTTAGGTGTGATTCCAAAACAAAAGAATTTTAAATTCAGTGCATCCTCTGTCTTAGATATTCACACACATCTCAATCTCAGCCTGAGATGTTCTCAACGTTTTCCTCTTCTCTTCTCTTCTCTTCTCTTCTCTTCTCTTCTCTTCTCTTCTCTTCTAATCTCTTCTCTTCTCTTTTCTCATCTCTACTCTTCTCTTCCCTCTCCTCTCTTCTCTCTCTTCTCTCTCTCTCTCTCTCTCTCTCTCTCTTCCTCCCTCCTCCCTCCTCCCAACATATACACACATATACCCTAATTTCTATACAGCCATAAAAGGAGTAAAATACTTGGATGCCTGCCTTCAATCAGGTCCTCTTCCTATGACATTGTGCCACATAAAATTGTGCATGTCTTCCCCTTGGACAAACTTTTTAAGAAGGATCTTCCTTCCAATATGGCTCTAACCTCCATTGACTCCATTTAATTTCTTTGTGTGTGTGTGTGTGTGTATCTGAAATTTTATAACAGAAAAAATTGAGCTTCCAAACAGCACCAGTACAGATGTTGAAATGACGACACCAAGTGATACTTCAGAACCTGTGCAAAATGGAAATCTTTCCCACACTGTTGAAGCTGCAGAAGCCCAGGTATGGCTCTTTTCCCATTGCTCTTCTGAGCTCTGTTCTTAGTGATACCTAGTTCAGCACAATGGATCTTACGTTCTCCTCAAAGGCACTGTTTCCCAGCTGGGTGATACTAGACTGAATCTCAGTAATCTTTTAGTGTATTTCCCAGTACTGACTCAGATCTCCCCTCCATCAGGTGCTACAATATATTGAATGAACATACAGTCTCTAAGCCATTGTTTCTCAGGGCAGAATTGAAAGACTCACATGCTTATCAACTCTCTTTGGTATATAAATGCAGATCCCAGGGGTCCAGAGCAATAGTAAAGTGGGTAGTGCATTTGCCTTGCGTGCAGCCAACTCAGTTTAATCCCTGGGATCCCATATGGTCCCCTGGGCACTGCCAGAAGTAATTCTTGAGTACAGAGTCAGTAGTAACCCCTGAGTACCACCAGGTATGGCCCCAAAACAAAGAAAAAGAATTCAGTTCTTGGAGGTTAACCCAGATCTCCTGATGAAATTGAATCTCTGGGAAACAGAACTTAAGGACCAGCATTTTTAATTCACTTTCCAGGTGATTCTTTTTCCTTTTGTTGTTTTTTGTTTATTTAATTCCCCTGGTGATTCTTAATGCACAATAAAGTTTGATAACTGCTTTAGCTGAATCCTTTTCCTTTTAGATCAAGGTTAATATAACAGAAAAACCGCATCCATTGCAATTCTTTGGTCTTTGTTCTACCAGCAGTTGAAAAGAATCAGCACTCTCCGGCCCAATTCACTGTTCAGTGGTGCAGTGAATAGGTAGCTGTCTGATCTAATTGTTACACTACTTAACAACATTTATATATATACAGTGCACTTATACTAGGCACAGTACATATGTCAGCATCTTTAAGTCTCACAGCCAAATATGTTTAGTATCTTCGTTTTATGTTAGAGGAAGCAAAAACTTGGTTAAATGGAGTCATTAATCAGGATTATATAATTTGTAAGTGGTGGTGCTGAGTGGTGGTCTCAGAATTTTCTAAATGCACTGCAGGTACTATTTCCACTATGTGCTTCTGAACCACAGTTTCTTAAAAGGTAGGAAATTTCTCCATCTCATCCTAATCAAATAAGTCAGAATTTGTAAGGAAATGAACACCAAACATACCTTTTAATTTGGCATTCTAAGTCACGTGTCTCAAACTTTAAAGTTCTAGTGAATTTCTTTTTTTGGGGGGGCACACCTGACAATGCACAAGGGTTACTCCTGGCTCTGCACTCAGGAATTACCCCTGGCGGTGCTCAGGGGACCATATGGGATGCTGGGAATTGAACCCGGGTTGGCCACGTGCAAGGCAAACACCCTACCCACTGTGCTATTGCTCGAGCCCAGCTAGTGAATTTCTTAAGGGATTATTTTATTTTGAAAAGTGATATAACTGTTTCTTAAGGTGAACATGATTTACAAGAGTGTAAAAGTTTATATTTTAGTAATACAATGTTGCAATACCACACCCACCAACAAAACTAATATCCCTCCACCACTGTCTTTGGAACCCTTTCCATCTACCCCACCCCCTTGTCAACCTCAGTCCTGTTGTGAGTCTAAGGGTTAGTTTTCACTGGACATTCAGCCTTGCTTCATTTCTTTACGACCCACATGTGATGGAATATTTATCTTTCTGTTTTACTTATTTCACTTAATATAACCTCTGTCTAGTTTCATCCATGTTATAGCCCAAAAAATCATTTCTTAGAGCTGAGTACTATTCTGTTGTGTGTGTCTTTATGTGTGTGCATATATACATTTATATATACGATAATATATGATAAATACTTTGTTCAATCATCTGTTATTGGGTATCTGGGCTTTGGGGTTGCTTCCAGATCTCAGTTAGTATAAATAAGATTGCAATGAAAATAAGTGTGCAAGCATCTTTTCCAATCGGTGATTTTGTTTGGGGGATAGATACCAAGGAGTGGAATTGTTGGGTATCATAAGTAGCTCTATTTTTTTAACTTTTTTTAGTTTTGGCTGCGTGCAAGGCAAATGCCCTACCGCTGTGCTATACTTTGCTTTTTTAGTTTTGGGGCCATAAATGTTAATGCTTAGGGCTTACTCCTGGCTCTGTGCACAGGGATTACTCCTGGTGAGACTCGGGGACATAGAAAGAGCTGAAGATCAAGCTTCATGCAATTCAAGAGCCCTAATAGCTGTACTATCTCTCCAGTTCTATTTTTCATATTTTTGTAAAGTCTCCAGACTGTTCTCCATGAAGGCTGAACCAGACAACAGTCGCACCAACAGTGAATGAGCATTCCCTTTTTCCTACATCCCAACCAACAGTGGGTCTTTCTAACCTCTTTCAAAATGGACCATAATCACTGATCACTTGATCACTTGATCACTTGACATCCCGTTACTCATCGATTTGCTCAAGCGGGTGCCAGTAACATCTCTATTCATTCCTGTTGCGTGCTAGTGTAGCCCAATGGCGTCTGCTCGTTCTAGGAACAGGAAGAACCTCAAACTGATCGTTCAGGGTCTTGATGAAGAAGTCTGACCATCTCATAGGTAAGCGGCCGTGCGATCTTTTGACGTGTTGTGGAATCCAGTCGGTAATGGCTCTAGTCATCTCAAAATCTCATTACGTGTCTAGCCCGTCTGATTTTCAACGCTTTGGCAAACGAGACAGCGTCCCGGATTCTTAAATGTCGGCGGAGGTTGGAACTCCGGATTCTTTCTCTCAATTGAGTGAAGCGTGATATTCCAAGCATAGCTCTTTTGATTCCTCTTTGGGAGACCCTAATAGAGTTCTCATCCTGTTTTTGTAGGGCCAAGGTCTCTGAGGCGTATATTAATGCAGGAAGAACAGTGGAATCAAAGAGATGTGACCAGAGCCGGAGGTTCTTAGGTCCTCTTAGCTTTTTCTTGGACGTTCTTGAAGGTGTTACAAGCTGCTCTCTTCCTCCTGTGCAACTCAAGTGCCAGGTCATTCGTCATGTTGACTTCTCGACCTAGGTACACATAACTGTTGCATTTGGAGATGTTCGTCCCATTGAGAGTGAATGGAACATTAGGAACAAAGTCCTTTCTCATAAACATTGTCTTTGTGAGATTCAGCTATAGTCCGACCTTTCCACACTCACAGTCGAAATCGGCCAGCATTTGTGCCGCTTGGCTGATGTTTGGTGTTATAAGACCAATGTCATCAGCGAAGCGGAGGTAGTGTAGTTGCCAACTGTCTATCTTCACTCCCATTCCTTTCCACTCCAGTCATCACATGACATACTTGAGAGTGGCACTGGAGAGTTTCGGTGAAATGGTATCACCCTGCCGAACCCCTCTCTTGATGTCAATGATCACCTCCCTGTCACAAATCACAAATCACAAATCATCCTGTTATTCGTCGATTGCCTCGAGCAGGCCCCAGTAACATCTCCTTCATCCGAGCCCTGAGATTATATTCAAGGCTCTTTAGGAGAATGAGACCCATCATTGTTACTGGTATTTGGCATATTGGGTACACCACAGGGAGTTTGCCAGACTCTGCCGTGTGGGCAGGCTATATTCGGTAGCCTGCCAGTTTGTCAAAGTAGAAATGAGATAATAAGATGTCATAATAAGATGTCCGTTCGGGAGCTGGTTTTTAAAGTCTCTGAGTCTTGGCCGCTGATGGGATTACACGGCGCCAGGGGGCCAGTTGGTGGGTGTGACCCCCGCCTACTGGAATTTGGAGGATCTGGGTGGAGGATGCTTGGCCCCAATCCGAGTAGGCTTGGAGATCTCAGCCCCAGAACCTGCGTGACTTTGTCCCTCTGCCAGTACCTTCATGTGTGCGGAGAGTGGTCTCAGCATGGTGGTGGCTGGTCCTGGAGGTCTTTGGCTGCCGGAGCCCTGGTCAGGGCGGGGAGGAAAGCTCAACCCGCTCCTCTCCAAGGGATCCTGGCGAGGACAGCCAGGCGCCGCGGCAAGAGACTGCACTGTTCTCTTCCGGGAGCTGGTTTTTATAGTCTCTGAGTCTTGGCCGTTGATGGAATTACACGGCGCCAGGGGGCCAGTTGGTGGGTGGACCCTCGCCTACTGGAATTTGGAGGATCTGGGTGGAAAATGCTCGGCCCCAATCCGAGTAGGCTTGGAGATCTCGGCCCCGGAACCTCCCTGTAGAATGGTGAAATCCTGGTAGTGAATCAGCTCACGGAGAATCCTGATGTATTGAGTTTCAACACCTTATTTGGCTAGGGCCTCAATGACCGCTTCCATCTCAACAGAATCAAAGGCATTCTTTTAATCAATGAATGTTAGGCAGAGTGGCATCTTGAACTCCCGAGAAACCTCAATGAGCTTGGTTATTGTGTGGATATGGTCGATTGTGCTAAATCCTTTTCAGAAACCTGCTTGCTCGCATGGTTGTCCTTCATCTAGTGTTCTGACAATCCTATTCAGGATGACTTGAGTGAACAGCTTGTAGACAACAGACAACAGGCAGATCGGGCGATAGTTGCCAATGTTGTGGAGGTCTCCCTTCTTGAACAGTAGTACAGTCCTGCTGGTTTTCCATTGGGATGGAACCTTGCATTCAGACAGGTAGCGTGTGAAGAGCCGACCCAGTGTATTGATGAGTACTGATGGCAGGTTCTTCAGATGTTCGGTTCTGACCTTGTCTGGGCCAGGTGCTGTTCGCTTCTTTACCGACAAGATGGCGTGTCGGATTTCAGAAGGGAGAAAAGTAAATACAATGGGTCTCATTCCCCTGACCCTGAAAGAGCCACAAGTAAATAATCACTAACATGAGACTATTTTCTCATTAACATTTCCCCTTACATTTCTCTTGGGGATCGTTTTAAAAGTCATATTCTGATTTGTCATGTCTGGAGTGGGACCCTGTATTTGAAATTCTAAGAGCTTCCAGCTGATTCTAATACTGGTGGTCTAAGGAACACACTTGGAGTAAACTGCTCTAGAGTTCATTATTTATTTCACTTTACAGAATTTTCCCAGTGAGCTGTAAAGTGATCGATTGCCAAAATAGAAA